CCCCTCCGTCGCCTCATCCCCCCTCCCCAGCTCATAAACTCCACTTTTCCCCGCACCCGCAGTCGCCCCCGCCCCCCTCCAGGAGTCCGCCCTGAATCCGCCTATGCTCATAAACGAATGCGTTTTGCCAACTTATACCCAAATTCATCCGAACGAGTGTATTTTGCGTGGTCGATATCGAGCCGAGCCGAGTTTTAGTAATTGTCCACCTAAAACAAGCGATAACAAAACAAACAAAAAATTGAAAAATAAACTAACCGTCTGCTTATTTTCTTGCTTTATTTTTTGTTTTTACAGATAAGTAGTAGTAGGTGAAATATGAGATGCGTGTGTGCGTGCGTGTGTGTGTAAGTTAGGGAGAAGCAATAGCATCCACACACACACACACACACTTTGAGCAAATGCTTTCAGTCTTCTTTTTGGCCAATTAATAATAGTATCACTGCATAGCATGTACACTTTGCATTGCCTGCAAAAAAAAAAAGAAAAAAAACACTGGTAAAATGATTAACTTTATCAATTTGGCCGCCTCCCTTAATAATTCACCGAGCGTACCTTTGTACCACTGCACAATGGTATTGACCAACTAGCTCGTAACTCTGATCAAATGACGGCCGATGCAGTAAGGAATGAATTTTCGATTATTTTAAATATACTGCTGCATCATGGCTCCCTCCTAGCTAGGTCGTGTAATGGTGCGAAAGCGACCTATATAAGGCAGATTTGTTTGTAATTGTAGTGTCGATCCAGTGCAGTGTCAACTCAGTGCACCGCTGTGGTATTGTGGATGACTTACGAGGGACTGGAGTCTGCTGCTACCTCAAGCAATCGCCGAGGAGCCAACCACTCGACACGATACACCGGAACATCGGGCCAGTCGAAGGAAAGCCTGGACCAGCAAACCCAACAATACAACAGAACGAACAGCGCAATTTCGAAACAATTTCAGCAGAATCCCAAATTACTGAGTGTCTCTAGTGGTTCGTCACAATTCCCCTCATCTTTGTCCTCTTCTTCACCGAAACTCCCACTAACCACCGACAGCGCGATTACTCCAAATACCCCATTGGACTTTCAGACTGCTGGACCAGAAGGCCTGCACTGCTAGTTACTTTTTCAGTCCAAATGGCCCGCCGAACCCTCAAGCTCCTAGACCACGATTCGTTCGCCCTGTGTGTCCTTCTTCCATCAGAATGACCCCTTATTTTCCCCGAGAAGCTTTACTTATTCCACTCTCCCTGTGATCCCCCCTCCCCTTTCCTCTTCTCCCCCTCCCCTCCCTACCCCTTTCCCCACATACATTCCTTACAAAGAAAAAAATAATACAGAACATTTTCGAATAAAAACTGTCGAACACACTTCGTGTCTGACACAACAAGTGGTACCTGGAAACTTTTAAAGCCCTGTGCTTAGCCTACCACAGTTCCTGCTCAATCAGGTCTTTCAGAAAAAGCTTTTATTAAAGCGCAGTGATCCGTTTAGTTATCCTTTATGAATATTCAATAAAAGATATTAAACCAGCTCTTCACGAAAGTCAGAAACCTCCTCCGTCTTTCGCTTTCAGTGAGAGGCAGCTACACTCGGGAAGT